GCCTCGCTTTAAACCTATATTGGTAGTGTGATATTTATTTAATTTTCCAGAAAGGTATTGAGCTGTAATCCTCGAACTCATGTGAACTATCAGGAATCACTATAGCTGAATACTTCAGAGATATGGGCTACAATGTTAGTATGCTGGCGGATTCCACATCTCGCTGGGCAGAAGCATTACGTGAAATATCTGGGCGACTGGTAAGTGCCCTATAATTAGCTTGTGTAACGACATATCTTTCCCTTTGGATTTAGAAAAGATTTTCTATTATTATTATGATTATGATTATGATTATGATGATGATGCAATACCACTTCTTTGTGATGCTTGTTCTTCATATTTCACGCTGTCAATTGAGTTGTTCTATTGTTACTCCAGTGACTTTACAGATCTGTTGTATCAGGTTTTTCCTATTTTATGTGTTCTATGACGATAATTCCAAAACGAGTTGTTAATGCCATGAAAGTTACATTATGGTGATTTTTTTAAAGAATTTTGCAATTAAACATGAGGTGTGAGCAAAAGACTTGGCATAAATTAGTATATAATTATAAATCATTTAGGAAGAAAGAAAGGGGGAAAAACGTGTGTTTTCTTTGCTGATTGTAATACTTGAAATGAGTTAAAAAATGATGTACCCACAAAACTTTGTGATATCAATGTTAAGTAGTGCTGATTTTATTACTATAACTTGTGGCACTAGGATCTCTCTCTCTCTATATATATATATATATTCTTACATCATACTTTTTGGTCTCAGTGGATGACTTGAAACATGTTTTTTGCAAAAAAAAGGACTAAGGGGTGATTACATACATAATTTTTGTTACTGGTCAGTTTTGGTTAAAGGACATGATAGAGTAATTTGATGGTTGGATCAAATGATTGGATTCCTCATCTGGAAAATAAAGGGAAAGAGCCGTGGTTTTGGGGGGTGGAGGAGCTATCTCTTTTGAGAATTTGTAGGAGAGAGCATGCTCCCGTAGCTTCAATGTCTTGTTCTAGTGTTCTCCTTGTTTTGAATAACTATATTATCCCTTTGGGACATCCAATAACATTGGACTTTAAAAATAAAAATAAAAATAAAAATTCTCCACCAGTCCTATCTTTTCATAATTGATCACCCTTTTTTCTTTTTGCTTGGCGATTGTGACAATCGTATCGCTGGGGTGAATCAATTCATGATTTTCTTTTGAATCTGCTATGCTCATTAGCTTTACTTTATGAGCAAATTTTGTTAGGAGCTATGGTTTATGATTTGCAGTCATTTCTATATAACATTATTTCTGTACTAATTGGCATGAGTTTGCACACAACCTGTACTGGAAGCTGAATTTATTTCAACTTTGTTTATAGCTTGCATCAACATCATTTGTCTTTAAATTTCTTTCAGGCAGAGATGCCTGCAGATAGTGGATATCCTGCTTATCTAGCAGCTCGTTTGGCCTCCTTCTATGAACGTGCTGGTAAAGTAAAGTGTCTTGGTGGGCCGGAGCGTACTGGCAGTGTCACAATTGTTGGTGCTGTTTCTCCTCCCGGAGGAGACTTCTCTGATCCTGTGACATCTGCAACCCTTAGCATTGTCCAGGTAAAGATGAAGTGTGATTTTCGTGTATCAATATTTATCTATGATGAGACATATCACTAAATCCTGGACAAACTGATGCAGTCCATTGTCACTGTATTTCTTGCCGACCATTAGTTTTACCAGTAGTTGGATTTGGTTCAATTGATTATCTAGAAAATGGAACACACATAAGTGCAACACAAATTTGTCATTCAAGGTTTAATTTTATATATTTATTTACTTATTTTTGCAGGTTTTCTGGGGGCTGGACAAGAAACTTGCCCAGAGGAAACATTTCCCATCTGTAAACTGGCTTATTTCCTACTCAAAATACTCAACGGTGCATTCTCAAAATGTTCTCCACTTCATTTTTAAAAATTCTGAAGGAGTGCCTCTTTAATTTTTTCCAGCATTATGGTCAATGTTGTGTCCCTATTCAATACATTTTATGTGTTTTCAGGCATTGGAGTCTTTCTATGAGCAATTCGATCCAGACTTTATTAACATCAGGACAAAAGCTCGTGAGGTGCTGCAGAGAGAAGATGACCTAAATGAAATTGTGCAGGTATTTTTTCCCCCTTTTTTGTTAGTTCTATGTGGCCCATTAAACCAGGACATTGAAAACAAGATAGATGCAATCAACCCTCATGAGAACTTTTTTGTTTGTTCCAAGTGTCTGCTGCCTTGCTCTATTTTCCACTTCTCACATCCCTGGATGATTACAACAAAATGGTTGCCGTAGAAAAAAGGTTCTTTTTACCCCTTGGGGGGAATGTGATTGTGAGACAGGACAGGATTACTGTGGATTTATCTAACAATACAGTATTTTAATTAATTGACAGGAGAAAAATCCATTTCTCTGGCTGCAAAAAGTCCATTAACTCTTTGTTGAAAATGCTAATGTCCGTGCTCGTGGATGTTTGGTCTTTAAAAAAATTGGCAACAAAGTGTATGTATTGCATTAACACTTTGTTGATGATACTATTGCCTGTGGTTGTGATGTTTGGTCTTTAAAAACTATGGCAACAAGGGGATGTTTTCTTGTGGAGGGTTTCGATGTCTTGCATTAATATGTTCTACTAGGAAAAATAGGAAATAAAGGTATTTTTTGAAGTTGTGGAAGTGGAGATTAATGTAGTTGAAATCTGATCAGTTCAACTATGTTGCATCTGTGCATCCTATAATTCAGCGACTCTATAGTAAGAGAGAGTCATATATCTTGCCCTCTTTTATGTGTAATTGTGGTTTTTTTTTTTTAACCTTTGCAAGAATCACACCCACTTGCCTCTACGGGGACTTCAAGACGGGGAAGTATCACTAGGCTACAACCTTTGGTGTTCTACACTTAAAAGATTCATTTTTTCCTCTTAATGAAACTAACGTTCTCTTACTTTTAAAAAAAAAATAATTGTGCAGATAAGATTACCCTAGAGACTGCAAAGCTTTTGAGGGAGGATTATCTTGCTCAAAATGCATTTACTCTGTAAGTTGCTGTGTACCACTCTAGTAACTACTATAAATCAATCCAAATCTCTACATTGGTTCTTGATATTTGAACTTTTTGTATGTGACAGGTACGATAAATTCTGTCCTTTCTACAAGTCTGTTTGGATGATGCGCAATATTGTCCATTTCTACAATTTGGCCAATCAGGTACAGTATTCTCTGTCTCTTCCCCCTCCCCATTAATTTTAAAAATTGCCATTGTTTGTGTTGGAACTGTCAATGCAGGGTCTCGGGGTGGTAGACGGAGTCCCAACCTAAATTTTGGCATTATTTGTACAAAGTGATTGTTCTGAAACTTGAATCCGCATTTTAATACTTAGGGCCTGTTTGACATTGTTGTAGCTTATAACACACACTTTTTGTTGTAGAGCTGCCAAAAAAGTGTGGTCTTTAAAAAATCAAATAGTGTTTGGCAACTTAGAAAAGAAAATTACTTTTTATAGATATTCATTTTCCATTAATAGACTCTTTCTATAAATATTTTTTTTTCTCTACTTGAAAAAACTCCAATTTTTAGCTTGGGCTAAAAGCCTTACCAAGCCAGAATCTATGACTAAAATGTCTATACATATATATTTTTTGTTGCCAAACACATCTAAAAGAGATTTTTCAAATCAAAAGCCCTTGTAATTTGTCCAATGGTAATGCCAAACAGACACCTAATAGAATGGTTTGAAGTTTTATCATTGCGCCAAGCAGTGGCCTCTTTTCTGATTATCAAAATTTGTCACTAGGAGCGTATCAGGACTCAGGAGCTAAAGGATCGAATACAAAGTGCGATTTCAAAACTTGTTTATTAGACCATTCAATAGTTCCTTTTCTTTTTTCAAATTCATAGCAACAGGGAAAATCATACATACTTGTTACTAAGATCAAAACTTGAGCTGGATCAGTTCGGTGTGGTACCTTTTTTGCCTGTTCAGTAGAAACCTCATCTATTATTCAAATTGTATCTAGACCTAAACCTTCAGACCTGTTTCCTAGAGCATTCATACTTCGATTTAGTTCCCAATTTCATGGCAATCAAATGAAGTTAAATTACAAATATAATTTAGGTCAAAACTTGAGCTGGATTTTAAATGCGTTTTTGGGCATCTCTCACCGCATGACAGCAACTGCAATCTCCTTTTTTGTGACGCATAATGTGTTAATGTGCAGGCAGTAGAGCAAGGAGCTGGTATGGACGGCCAGAAGATTTCAAACACCCTTATCAAGCATCGACTGGGAGATCTATTTTACCGTTTAGTGTAAGTGAATTCATAATCAAGGGTATGAACAACTCCATTTGGCCTTCTCAAGTCATCATGTTTGAGTCTGCTAATCTATTTGATATTTACAGGTCTCAGAAATTTGAGGATCCTGCTGAAGGAGAGGAAGCTCTTGTGGCGAAATTCAAGAAGCTTCATGAGGATCTAACTGCTGGTTTCCGCAACCTTGAGGATGAAACTCGATAATCAAGATTTTGACATTAGATTTTTTTTTTTTTTTTTTTTTTTTTTTTTGTGGATTCACCCAGTGACAAATCTGTTACCCCAGGAAACAGTTTAGTAATTTGTCTCTTAGTGCAAGGGAAACCAAATTGTTATTTATAGGTCAGCATCAGTATCGCCCCCACATTCGGATGCTTGTTCGGCCTGTATGTTAAAAGATGCGTAGCTATTTATTTATTTTTGTATTTTATTCATTACCTTTCATTTCTTTGTCAAAAATAAAAAATAAAAATCTTGTATTTATTTTATGTATGGGTGTGTAGCATATATCAGATTGATGATGACACTCTCATCTGATTTTTGCTTGAATGTTTGAACAAAGATCCATATATATATATATATATATATATATATATATGCCTTAGCATAGTGAAGAAGAGTAATGTGATCCGTGCTTAAAGTAATAGTAACGTGATGATGATAGATGTCGTTCGAAGTAAGAAAAGATACACTAGCATGTTATTCGACTGAAACTATGTCTTAAGAAGAAGTACGATTCGAGATTGATATATAATACGCTCTAACACTGCTTTTAAATATTTCTAACAAATTCTCTCACGAAATGGAGGCCGCCTTATCACTCAAGCCACGTACCACCATTCCCACAACTACCACTCAATTAGCCACACTTCCAGAAGGAGAAATGTAGAGGAAACCAAATACTGGCTTTTGAAGGAAAACATGGCATGCCAAAGATTACGACAGAGACTCATGCTACAGAACTTTCAACTACCACAGCCATTCAACCAGTATTAAATAATTAAATCCGAAAAAGACAAAGCACGTTCAGGTGTCGCTCTTCAAGTGCCATAGATACCCAGAGTAGATTCAAGGTGAGGTTGGGCTAACTCACAAACTCTTAGTAGATTCCGGGTATAATCCTGTAGGGTACCTTCTCGCAATACAGTTTCCAGTATTTTCCATACCTGCAAGTAGATCAATGTCAAAGGTTTCATTTAACTTTCCAAAACGGACCAATTGGAAAATATGATGATGAATGTAATAAGAACATCATGCTAACACTAGGACACTTGAGAGAATGATTTGCCACATATTAAATTGACAGAAGAATAACAGCTCGGCTTATGTTTGTTTAATGCAACATGTTTGGTGGGTCACCATTGAAAAACACATTGCATGCATTCGAAGCATTTGCAAATACTCAAACAAGCAATAGGTGTTAACTAGAAAAGATCCCTTTGGTGTTATGCTCTCTTATTCTCTTTCTACATCTAAGTACTCAACGGAGTCATCAAAGGCCACATCTATCAGTTCATGATATATATAACCAACAGGAAGATGGTGAATGATTGCTTGAGGGTGAAATGATATGTGTAGACCTGCCTAAGACAGCAAGTAAATCAAACCGTAAAATGGTATTTATTTGTATTGTATAGTTAACAATAAAGAATAAAGCGTGACTAATAAAATTGTGACCATCATGACATCATGCTCATGGTCCAATCCAACAGACTAAACGGACTGCAGAAAACATTGTTATTTCCACAATTTTCTTTCCACTTTGTACTAGAAATGTAAGAAACAGGTGAAGATTGAGTTTTGCTTACTTCGAACGACATCTATCATCATCACGTTTGGCTCGGTCGAAAAGAAGGATAGTAAGAAACACTACATAGAAGTAAGGTAGAAACTGCAACAACAACAAAAGACAAAAGATTTTGGCAATATATCAATAAGAATTGCAGTTATCGTAGTTATTCCAACATAGATATGCTTACATGGTTAAAAAGAGCTGGTACAGTCCAGAAAAAAGCAGCCGATATTTCTGGTACATAATGGAAATGACGTGATAAACCCCACCTGCAGGAATCACAAAAGCCATAGACATGACAAGTCAAAAAGTAGTTCGAAGTGCCTCTACTATGTCATTATTCCTATATTTAATAAAAGAAAAATGTCAACTTCAATTGAACTTCTGGTCATTGCCGCAAATATGAAAATGATCTCGCAGAATGGATCAACTAATATAATGGACACTCTAAAAGGAGACGTCAAACCTTATTGTATGCGGAAAAAAAATTATAGCTTAGGTAAAAAAAGGGAAAAAAAAAATCTTCTTTTATTATTAGTTCTGGGTATTGTTATTCATATTTGCAGGAAAAACTGGAAAACTAACCATCCTGAGGTCAGGAGAAGGCTGGTCTTGGTCTCACCAGAAGAAGTAGTGTATGAGGCGACAATCTGCATAAGAAATAAATTAGATTAATCTTACACTCCTCATTAGGAAATTTAAGGAGTTACAGTACTGCCAATTGGACACAAAAGAAGTGGAGTTGAAATGTAAACCAAGTTACTGACTGCCATGACACCAAATACCTTAGATGGGGCTTTTCCCCAAACCAAGCACTTGCCATTTGTTCTGCGAAATTCTTGCCTTTGCCTGTCACAGTCATAGTTAATGTATATGCATAGAATGCCTGCTACAAGAATAGAAAGAGCAAGCTGGAACAACAAGATGAGGTCGTTAGAAACAAGAATGCCAAGTAAGAATACAGATATTAGAACAGAATTTCTTTATCCATGAACATAGAGTTGTTATGCTCATCCAATTTGTTTTAAGTTTTGGCTAAGCATGATTTTTTATTTGCACACCGACAGATGACTTCTGGCCTACATCTTTGCTGAATTGATAGTGAAATTTGTAGAACCAGACTTTTCAATTTCTTTATCTATCAACCAAATTTCAAACCAATTTGTACGGTTCAAAGATACAGAAAAATCTATTTCATTTTGACTGACTTCTCTTTTTCCAGATTTAGCCGACTTTCCAAATATACAAGCCAATTTTTTCCCACTAGAACTCTAATTTTTTAACCGAAATCGGATGCCTATGAGAATCCAAAATAAGGCAGCTAGTTGAGGGTTGATTAATAAAAAAAGTTTTAAACCACAACATGGGCAATGTGACCGGTCCACCCATAAGAACGTCAATGTGACCGGTCCACCCATAAGATCGGTAGACGTTAGGTTATTAACCATATGTCCTTCCTTTGTAGCATTACTTATCCCGGTGGCAATATGCCGAGCATAAAAATGTGTTTTACTCTAGCAGAATTCTTACCCTATTTAAAATTTAAACTTGTGAAAAGACCACTTATAGACATAAAAAATTAAGCCGAGCAGATGGAGATATCAAACTCTTCAAGTCCAAGCAAATTATGCTTTATTTCCATATATTCTATTCTTGATAATATACATACCTGAGTGCCAAGATTCAAGGGATGATTGACTAGGTACATGCCAGGAGACGTATACACAGATGGAACCCAAACCAAGCATCCCCAACATATATAAAACCCAGCTGCCAAAGCCAAATTTAGAATAAATTATAATGACATCAAGTATCAATGGCACTAGATATGGAGAAATGTAATAATGATAAATGAACAACACATTGAAGATGGACCCTACTATGTTTTTATACTCACTGTTCTTTATATACATATATTTATATAGACACATCTTAGTACAAATATATATATAGGACTATAGGAGTATCTTTTACAAACTTTTATATTAAAATATGTTAATTTAAAAATCAAGTTATGCAAAAGATATTAAAAATAAGAAGGATGTAATTTATAGGTTTTGATCTAAATAAAGTGGGGGAAAAGGGCATGCTCTTCTGAGTACTACTAGACTACGATAATTTTTTACATTAAGAATGTCTAGAACATCAATCATCAAGAAGATGATACACCATAAAGTCAACAACCTAATGAAATCAATTGAAAATTAAAATTGATCTTTTCATGTAAGCAAAGTACATGCCATCAAGGCCAACTAGGCATTTTTAATTGTCCCTGTACAATCTATTTTTGCAAATGAAACATGAACAACAAGCAAACAACTCCAAACCTCGATCATGCGCAATATCCATTGTGTTCCAATATCCAGCTTCCCACCAAAAAAATTTTGTGACATACACCAGCATCAATGCAGTATTTACAAGCATGGAATCAGCCACTCTCCCATTTGCTTCATACTTGTAGATTACAAAGGAAACATTAGATAAACAACAGACCATATATTTAAACCTAAAATTAGAAGAAAAAAAATATATAAAGATACTTGAATTTAACAGTAAAATGAATAATAAAAAGTTTCCACATATGATATCACTAAGTCCAATAATGAAATTCAGTTAAGGTGGCCAAACTTAAGAGTTAACAGCCAATTCAATGTACCGTATTTAGTGATTATTTGGATTCGACATAAGCAAGAACCAAAATTAAAGTTTAGACATTAATATTACAATGTAACTACTAGATATTTAAAGCAGATAACTACTGGGTGACACAAACGTCTCTATGCATGAATGTGAGAAAGTAAAGCTATCTGAACGTTCTTAGTCAGCCAAGCAAACAAATTTAGGATCTTGTAGGCATACATGACAACGAGAGTCACTCAAAGATTCCACAATCAGGTAATTCTCTTCCTAGAATTTAGATCTATGAGGCTCATCAGATGAAGAATTCTACCCTCACCATGTGAAAATTTCACATGCCTTGCCATTGGGACACTGGTTATAACAATTAATCTGATAAGTTACTTTCAAGTTCACACCAGGGATTGTGTCACACAACTACCTGCTTTATGCAATAGGTCACTGCAAGAACTGCCCAAGACATCATCCCAAATCTGCAGTTAGTGAAAACTTTGATGTCAAAGTTCTTGCCAATGCGAGGATACAGCTCCATGCCCTGCAAGAATGACAATCACGTGATAACAACAGATGAGAATTAAGAGCAACATTCATACTAAAAAAAATCTTCACATTTGGTAATACATTGTCTACTGGAAATTCTATTACAACAAAAAAATATTAAACTTCAAAAGAGTTCTATTTTGTTAAACAGGAGTCAAATGGAACTTATCAGAGAAATTCGTAATTAGAAAATTTATGGGCCTGGTTGGCAAAAAAAGGAATGCATCAACAGGATTTAGAGATCTATCTATGTTTTTAACAGATAATGATTTCATGTTCTTTTTCACAATGACTCAAAGCCATGCCCCACATACTTCACAGGCACCGTGACAGACTGAAGTTGCAGAAATCACAAATCTGCAATTCATACAAGACCTTTCCTCATGTTTTAAGGCATATGCTTCTACTCCCAAATAAAATCGAGGAACCATGATTCAAGTCCTGCCCTCTAAAAATCAAAATAATTAAAATACTATCATACTAAAGAAGATTTAAAAATATGGAAGGAGATTGAGCTCCAAAATCATCTTAGCTGGGAAGTACTTGGTCAGAATTCTTTTCTCTTGCAACAAGTTATGTTTTTTCTGGAATACATTGTAGTAATGACGTAAAAAGGCACAATTTTAAAAATGAAAAAAGGACATGTCATCTCCTTTAGGATGATAATTTTGAACGTATCAAATGTCCAAACAACCTCAAAACATGAAGAGAAACATCCGGTTCAGATTCATGCCCCAGAAGAATCCTGTTTGCTCTATGTTCCTCACAGAAAGAAGCTAACTCCATGTGCTTTATATTTGGATGGAGAGAGCATGAGGAAGAGTACCTAAAATAAGAAGTCCAACAACCTACCATGCAAAGGAGACACCAATACACACATCTGTCTCATCAATTACACATGTGAGGTAGTCGTTAGTCTGACAAGGCAATTGAAGCTCTGCTTTGGACTATTTGTCATTGCCTGCACTCTGAGGAAATCCTCCTCTTTTTTTTTTTCTTTTTTTTCTTTTTTTTTTCATTTTTCCTGAATGGGTGAATTTTATAAATAAAAAAATAAAAAGAAAGAAAGAAAAAAAAGGAAAGGAAATTTTCCTTTCATTTCGTATGTCCCTCTTTTTCCATCAGATTTCGTGTATTGAAAGGATAAATTAAAAAAAAAAAAATTAAAAAAAAGAGAGGCTTTCTCAGCACGTTTGATAACCTTTCAGATGCAACCTTTGAAATTCCATTTCATTATGAGCTGAAATCTCTATTGGTTAGTTTGTGCCAGTTCTTTTCACTTCTAGCATTTATGGTGATTCATTAATAATAAAATAAAATGAAACAAAAAAGAGCAAATATCATAAAGTTTTAAGACACTCACCCAATAGAAATCTATTATAATGTTTCCAGAAGAACCAGAATCAGTAGAAGATGGTGCTACAAGACCCTTGTAAACAAAAATCACAAGTGTCACAAATAGTGGCAAAAATTGCTAAATGACAGAACACTTAAATAAAAGTTAGCATATTCATAAAAGTGAGATATTCATAAATACTCACTTTTATGTATAAGTAAATACAAAAGATGAAGCTGCCAAAAATGAGTGCTGAAAATATTTCTCCCAAATGATCATAGACGATTGTGGGGTTGAATATTCCGAACCTGAATATATACACACAGAAAAAAATTCAAACGCAATAGATTATATTTGGAACTTGGTTTAGCAAAACAAGAAACCAATTGGTGAGAATGCAATAGATTATATTATGGGAATGGTTTGCTTCTGTGTGTCATTGTCAAGGCTTGCTTCAGTTAGCCTCTTTCCAGCAGGTTGTCCAACGGTTTCAGAATTACTCTTCTCCATCTAGTGTGATCAAAAAATTGGAGACTCTTTTTTGTCAAAGCTATATGGAGTATTTGGAGCGAAAGGAATAGCAGATTGCATGACAACACAGCCAAGAATGCTGAGGAAATTGCTATTTCAATTTGCTTGGGGATTCTGAGCTTATTTAGTCTTTCTTTGTCTGATCTGCGGACTTTGTTTAGTTGAGGCTTGGTTTTCTAGCCTCAATCATTTTATCTTTGCCTTTTGTGGGCTTTGTTTTCTTTCTTACTATGATATTAAGCTTCAGTGTGAGGGTCCTCCTCAGCTTCTTTTGTACTCATTGTAATCTATGTGAATAAATAAACACATTCAGGAAGGGAAAAAAAAAAAAAACAGAAACCAATTGTACTAAATTGTTTCTCAGAAAAACAGGCTCTGACTAAAGCAATCATCTCCATATAGAAGCCTATGCAACTTTAGATGACCACTTAAAATAGAATCTGTGCAGCATGGACCATATTAAGTCCAGACATTTATGATAGTAGGGGTTACCAGGAGGAACACAAGCTGCAACCAATGAAGCACGGACACGGATACAGGATCTGGTCACGGAAACGAGACATGACACGATATAGATACGGCGACACGGCAAATTCTTAAAAAACAGAATATGGATACTGCAAAGACACTACAACATATATATTATATCAATGTAGATATGTATGAAATTTAATATATATATATATATATATATATATATATATATATATATATATGTATAAATTTTAAAATATATATATGTATATGTGAGTGTGTATCTATGGATAAATTTGAATAATAATTTCTTGTCATGTTATATTCATATTTTTAATTTGTTACTAGTATTTTGTAATAAAAAAATATTGGCAAAGAAGCAGAGAGTTGAGAGTTATATGGTATGTATAAATTTGAACTAACTTAGTCAAGATATACTTCTGATTTGAAGAAATTCTAAATTTTTCTTAATAATTATATTATGATATTTTACATGAAAAAAATTACATTTTAATGTTCAAGACTCATTAAAAATGTATCCTGAAGTATTGGACATGTGACAGAATTATCAGATATGTTTTAAAAAATTTAAATATATATGTATATATATGTTAAATTGTGATAAAATAAGGAAGTATGGGACACACATTGGCGTGTATCCAAGGAGTGTGAGTATCCGACATGGACACAATGTGGGTTCGTTTCCCTTTCAGAAGTATTTGTGCTTCATAGGTCATTACATAAGCAGTAGAGCTGTAAACAGTAAACACAAGTTCTGACCAATAAAATGGCTTATAACACTTTTTTTTTATAAAAAAAAAAAAAAAAAAAACTAATAAAACTTGATATGAATAACTAAATAAAATCAAAAACAGAAAAGAAGAAGCCTGAATGAAATATTACTGTGCTAAGTATTAAAATATGTATTCATCCTTGTTCTTAGAATGTTGGAACCAAAAAAGGAAAAGAAACGATGAAAAAGAAAATAAAAAAAACGATGAGGTAACTGAACTCAACTAACTGAATAGGAAAGGTAAAGATAGTGACTTTATTCCAGAGGTTTTCCCTTGGTACTATCAGGAAGGGGTCACTTCGAGAAAGACACAATACCCAAAAGGAAGAAGGTTAAGTACCTTCTGCCTTTACTTTTTCAATGAAAGATAAAAACATGAAACTTTGAAGGAATTTAAATTTCCAATCACGTTACAATCTTTAGCATATAAACTTAACAAAAAATTAGGTGAACCAACAAATGTCTCTTGTTAAGTATTCTTACACTTTGCACACAATCAATTGCTAATAGAAGCATAAAAGAATATCACAACTTTCAACCGTCTGAAGAAAAGGTGTTAAATGTTCTAAAGCAAGCTAACATATCTAAATGTTTGGCTTACCACCAAAGGCTGAGATAAGTAATCAAAGTCACTGCATATGCTGCCAATCCATTTGCCTGCAGAACACACAGAAAGCAGACTATTAACTTACAATATAACAACTAACTTACAAAATAACAGTTGGATAAGTAGCGCATGGCATTTCTTTCCTGTTTCTGGTACTAGAAAATAATGCTAATAATTTATACGCCGCCAATCCAGTAAACATCCACCCACATTAAAGCTCAAATAGGCTGAGTATGATAAATCACGCTCGCAGAGATTGTATCGAAGATTTAGTACCTTGTAGACAGGCCTATTCCCGGCAGGAGATATCGGTCCCTCGACTCTCTTGCCTGGTAGTAAAAGCTGAAGGGCAGCCTCAAATGCTGCGTAACAAGCAATTATTTTCCATGCAATTGCAGTAGGTTTTGGCCAAATGCTTATGAATCCTTGCACCCCATGCTGCCTTAGGTAGGCCCAAGTCTGAATTATAGACCCATCAGCATGTACCATAGTATACCATCTGCATGTAGCAGCAAGTTCCGATTTTAGTTTTAGCTAAATAAAATTACAGTAAGTCCACAATCAAATAACATGGTTATATATAACATTTAAAATACCACATGCGTTCAACTGATCTAATCGCTTAAAGCTTGGCTAAAAAGCAAATCATTCTTAGATGTTTGTTATACAAGTTCCTTAAATAATGAATCCATCTGTAACATTTGATATGTCATTTTAATTATCCCATTCTGCTTAAAACAAGGGCACTTGCTTACGCTAAGGAATTTTGTAATTTCAATAAGTAATCTCACTCCTAAAAACTGACAAGTATTAAAATTCAGGAATCCAACAAAATGATCTCATTTCGATTCTGAGTTCTGAGTTGGTGATCATGATGAAAACAGCAAGCTTGACTATAATGTGATTAGTCAACTACTAACATCCATTGGATATCATTGATTAACTATCAACAATATTTATGATTTTCAGAGTGTAAATTCAAAATTGAACTCGGTGCATCAAAAACAAAACTTGTTCACGCAAATTAAGATAGAAGTGAAGAAAAAATGAGATTCAAAACTTCAATCTTCTGGTATTTCAGTAAAGCAAGAGATCAAGAAATTATGACCTAGAAGAGTATAATCTGAAATTATAAAGATAGAAGATTAATGAACTAGTATAATCAATCAAATCATGAACATGAACAGATTGAGGATTTACAGTAGAATCACGAAGGGAGGGCATAGAGTGAGAAGTGAGAGCATCGATGCGTATGTAACCATTGGTGAGTGCACCATCGTCTTCGCTGCCTCTCCCATCTTTCCTGCTCCGCGACCTCTCTCTCTCTAGCTTCTTGACTCGGAGAAGACTCGACCGGTGCCTGTGTGCGCTGTTTATTTGTTCATACTATGTACAGTACCTAAGTAAATGACTATTTGTCCTTTAGCATTGTGACCACCGTGACCACCAATATTGTAATGTTGGATCCGATCTTCACGGTGCGTGCCCGTTGTGCATCAAAATAAAGTCATTCTTTGAAAAATATAATAGGAAAATATTTAGGTCCTCAATAATAAATTAATATGTGATTTTTAATTATCAAATTAAGAATGGTAGATAGATATTCATTTATCAAATCAGAATAGTGATTTAATTATCATCTATGATTTTATAATTAAAATAGAATGTATCTAATTATTATTGGTTCACATCTTATAATTAAAATAAAATGTGTCTATTTATTTTTGTCAAAATTAAATATGTTGTAGACCTTAGTATTGTCCAATATAATATATTATTCATTTACACAAACACAAACCTCTCCTTTGAATAGTGAAATGTTAAGACCACAAAGAATATGAATCACTTTTCATCTCCCCCAATCTTTCTCCTACTCTCTTCTCCAATCAAACGACAAACTAGTCTCATTAAATTGTTCTACTTTCAGAGTAATGTGAGTTTCATTCTCAAAATAAATAAGTGTTACATTTTAAAAATAATGAATGAACCTTCTCCTTGGTTCTGATCGGCTAGAGGAAAGCCACACATTAGTCAAAATGCCTGACTAATTTTCAAGTATACAAGTTCAACACACACAAGTCGTGAAACAATTATAATCATTTTATACTCAATAATACACTCTACGTGGGAGAAGACCTACTTTAATGTAATATGACTCAGAAAAATAAGAATTTTTGCGTGAGCTAAGTTAACGGTTCATTAAGAGAAATTATTAGGTGTTTTGAGATTATCGATGATATAATATTCGAATTTAATAAGAAGTAATTATTCTTGTTAAAAAAATAGATAATTGAATATTTATTGAACAAAAGAGCATTATATTATTACCTAGGTACCGGACTCAACAAATTTTCGGACTGCAAAACTCATGTGCTTACAAGTTACAAGCCAATCCGAGTTCATATTGGGCCTCCTATTTATTTGGTTTATATTGGGCCATTAGGCCCAAACTTCGCAACGACAACTTCGGTTTTCAGGCGGTTTGGAAGCATCTCTCCCTCTAGGGTTTTGCAGAAGAAACCGAAGCTCGAACCTTTCCGGAATCAAAGAGAGATCACATAACCGTTAACTGGTCTGGTCTGCTTCTCTCTCTTTATTTTTATCTGTGTATACACACACGTACATACACATATATATACTCACCTTCCATATATCACCTGTAATCGACTTTCAAAATTTCTGGATATATATGAACAGCTCACTGACTCACTAAATCTGTTATCGTCCAGTTCAGTTCTGGAAACTCTATCTCTCTTTAGTTTTCTCTATGCTGAGTTTTGTGCCCTGGGAAAGTATATTCTGGAAATGATATGTAGATGGAAATGGAAATTGTTACACACAACTTCTTATCGAATTATCCAAACACCATATTTTTTAGCTCCAATTCGCAGCATTTCATCAGCAATCGAGTGTTTTGACAAAGCCCAAAAGTGTTCTACAGCAGAACATTGTCAAAAACTTCCCAGGAATTCTAAAACCTTGCTCACCTCACAAATTGTTCAATCCACCCTACTGAATTGCCCTTCTGATTTGATTACTTTGAGTTTTTTCTTGTGGTGTGCTCGGCAACCGAATTACTTCCACGATAATTGTGCATTTGATCACTTGGTTAATGTGGTCGCTCGGCTTGCCCAGCAGTTTACAACAGTGAAAATTGTTATTAATCAACTAGAGAGTATTGGGTGCGTTACAAAGCCACAAACCTTTTTGCTTCTGATCAGGATTTATTGGCAAGGAGGCCTGTATGATTTGGTTTTTGAGGCTTTTGAGGAAATGATAAAATATGGTTACACACCAAATACGTTTGCACGGAACATTGTTATGGATGTGTTATTCAAGATAGGTCGTGTCGATGAAGCCCTTGGAGTTTTAAAGGAGAACCAGTTCCCGAATTTCTTAACTTTTAGAATTGCCATATGTAATTTATGCAGACTTAATGATTTGAGCAATGTCCAGGGTTTGCTTAGGAACATGTTGAGAAAGGGGTATCGTCCTGATGGCAAAACATTTTTGACGGTTTTGAATTGTTATTGCAAATTGGGTAGGCTAGTGGAGGCATTACAAGTACTCAGTTTGATGATAACTTTTGGTATTTCAACCTCTGTGACCACTTGGAGTATATTGATTGATGGGTTTTGTAAATGCGGCAGACTTGGCGCGGCAGGTTATCTATTAGACAAGATGGTTGAGACTGGGTGTTCTCCAAATGTTGTAACATACACACCTTTGGTTAAGGGGTTTATGCAATCCAAGATGGCCAGCAGTGCATTCAGTATATTAAGTAGAATGGAATCTAAGGGATGTTCCCTAGACTTGGTTCTTTGTAATGTTCTAATAGATTGTCTCTCTAAGTTGGGGCAGTACGATGATGCACTTGATGTCTTCTTTAGTTTGTCAAAAAGAAATCTGATACCTGATTCTTATACTCTCTGTTCTATAATGTCTGCCATATGTTTGTCCAAACAGTTTGATCTTCTACCCATATTAGTCAGTGGGCCTGCAATACAATCGGACCTTGCGGTCTGTAATTCCCTTCTAAGTTATTTTTGTAAAGCTGGTTATCCTTCTGGTGCAGTTGAGTTTTATAATGACATAATTGATAGAGGTTTTATACCAGATATGTATACTTTTGCTGGATTACTGACTGGATTATGTGGAGCCGGGAGAGTGAGTGAGGCAGTCAATGTTTACCATGGAATTCTCATTAACCATTTTGGTCAGGATGCTCAGATCCATACTGTAATTGTAAATGGACTTATAAAAGCTGGTCAGTTTCAGAAAGCTATCAGATTGTTTAGGAAGGCAATGGTCAAGAAGTACCCTTTGGATGTTGTATCATACACAGTTGCCATCCATGGGCTTCTTAGGGGTGGTAGAGCTGGAGAGGCTTGTACTTTGTATAACGAGATGAAGGAGGTTGGTGTAGCTCCAAATAAACATACATATCATGTATTACTCTCTGGCCTCTGTAGGGAAAGGAATGTTAAAATGGTTAAACAGATCATCCAAGAAATTATTGATGAAGGGATTGAACTAGACTGCAATACTTCCAACATGATAAATAATCTTCTCTTCAAATCACACTACTCTTGTTCAGGATTGTTGCATAAAAATGCCATGCCCCATGGTGTAAATGCAGGTGATGCGCATATTTCCATGTCGAAAGGATTTGGTGGATATTCTAGATGTTGACAAGTCTGGCTCTGATGATCTTTCTTACGTGGCAGCTTCAGTGGGTTGAGTTATATTGGTGAAGGAACTTATCGACATCTCTGCAGATGGCACTGCTGCTAGTCTCTGAAGCTTCAGTTGGGTTCCTTAAGGTACTGCTGATATTTTTTAGCTTATTATGGAAAATCAGTAAATCACATTATTCTGGAGCAGAATAGGCTCTCTCAGTTCCAATCCTTGTAATATATTTTGTCACTGTTTTAATTTATCAAAAAAAAATATATATATATATATATATATATATATGTAACTGTTTTAATACAATCAATTTAGTTAAGAACTATTAATATGTACCTACCTGTTGCAAGTATTGCGAGCTGAATTTTATCGTTTGACCTTAAAAGAAATGTTATCACATCTTAAACCTGAACATAGTACAATAAACTTGGCCACATTTACTCTTTAGCTGGACTTATTGCCTTGGAGATGTTTATATGACTGAGGATGAAATGACATTTAGAAATATATGTCTATGTGCTTGCTGTATACACATATAGATAAGTCATAATTTTCAATGTAATGGATGGATTCTCTTTGTTCTGTAGTACATTCCTTGAAAGTACAAATTAGTAAATGCAATGTGCAGTTGCTGATGAAGTGCAAATATTTTTTTTGCATATATTTGAACTTACAAAAAAGAGTGCCTCTGGATATTTCAAATTGATGGTATTTAAAGATGCTCTGTGCTCTGTTCACATGGTTCTATATTTTAATTGCATTAGTGTGTGATTTGATTGGTTTAATCCTGGTAGATGGACACTACTTCTTGAGGAACAAGTTTGCTCTTTGAGGATGTCCCCCTTTGTATCTATTGGATATGACTGATGAATTTTGACAAGGTACTCATGCTTGCCTTTTTATATTTGAATTTTAAAAAATGATGTTCCTTTTAAATTATTGAAAGCTTAGGAACTGTATTTGTCGCCTTATTTTGCATTAGGAAAATTAATGCCTTGCCTGGGATACTCTTCTTGATCATGAAGGGCGCCCCTTCAGAGCTGTCAATTGCAAGTGGGCTCTCCAAAAAGGAAGGTATGACTTTTATATGTACAGATAACCTTGGTTTTTTCCAGTTGTGAGGGGGAATTGAAGTTTCTCCATTGCCTATTCTGCATCACTTGAAAAGTTAAAATGAAGATACTTATTGTAACTTTCACTCGCATAGTAATTGTAAGCTACTGGCTGTTTTGCTACAACTATAAATGTGAGTGTTTTCCTCAGATAGTCTCTGTTTTTGTCTACTGAAACATGAACTTGTCCTGTGTATGTTCTTGTTTGCAGAATTTATTTACTTATCAAAAAAAAAAAAAAAAAAAAAAAAACATGAACTCGTCCTGTTTAATTGTAAAGCAAGAGTGCAAAAGCTAATGTGATTATGTGTCTATACAGTAACGTGAAAGAAATGGGTGGTAACTGGAGTTTGATGTCATATTTGTTGTACTGATGGTGTATAACATCAACTGTAATCCTGTAACCCAAACCAATCTGTTCAAGGAGAAGCGAAATCTATCCAAGTGAAGATTGTAATCTCAGCTAGAATTGGCTTTTTGTTTAGGCTGGACTGACTTTTGAATCAAGAAATGTATTTCAACTTAATTTAGGTATATATTTGCACTGATACATACACAAATGTACCGACTCAACGCCAAGTCAATCCCAAGTTTACTGAACCCGAAAAAAGTGCCAATGGGGGAAATCAGACTAACTCATGTGATCTGAATAACTGGGGCCATTGGTGTCTATAATTTGACATCGAATTGGCCTGTGCCATAAAATACCAACAGTGAAGTTGAATTTGAATTTCCTTACTGATGATATTCGAATTTTAATTTAATAATATCCAGTGTCTCTACAAGAGTGAAACCGTTAAGGAGCTTATGTTCCTTTCATCTGTTTTGATGGTGATCTACTGAGGTGCTGTTGAAATTTTTGGAGGTCATTTTTTTTTTTTTTTCATCCTAGGTAAGAATACAACAAGGGAATACAGAAAAATGTTCAAAAAGTAGTTATTAAAATTTAAAAATGATGTCAAATATTCCTTTATATGGGAATTTGGTTTTCTATTCTTCACTGCAGATTGTGCATGCGCTATGGCAAATAGCAGTCTTGATCTACCCAAAAATAAGAAATATTGAATGAGTATTCGTGCATTGTATGTCCGCCTTTTAGCTAGCTTAGCTAGTAAGTAAACTTACTATTGTTCCCCACATGCATATGTTGAGAACTGAGGTTTTATAAAAAAAATATTTGTCTGTGCATTTTTTTTATATGTATTTATATATGTATCTTTAAGTGACACTAATGCCCTTGTTTTGATGATTTGTTGGATCGGTTAGACTGACATGTTTACTTTTTCTTCATTGCAGAACCACACAACAATCTGCCTGTGAACCATTTGATGGATGTGCAAAGTCATTATCCTCTTAATTAGTGAAGCTGAATCACATTCCTATGGCTTGCAACTGTTTAATCGTGTCTGTGTGTACAATATTTTTTAACAAAATCCATTTGCTCGAAAGTGCCTTTCGCAATTTTTTTGTCCGTCTGAAAACCAGAGTTTCTGATATGTAGTTTTTCTGCTGTAGGCCTACATCGAATCAAATATTGAAATGACATATCATACATAAAACTTTTGAAACATTGTTTGGAACTCTCCTTATTCTTGATGTGTTGCTGTACAGGCAGAATATGCATTGGTGAATCTATTTAATGAGACTTCAACGTTGACCAAATGCAAGATTTGGTTGTAGCAATAATCAAAATGAAGATTCTAGTATGGAGTAGCAAGTTTTTAATTCCTGAATTATTGCTTTAGAAGCTTAAGCAAATGGGGGAGACAGATGTTGCAACTTCTGGGTAAAAAATTAAAAAGTTCGTCATTCCGGGTTGCCATTAATTCACATACACCCTCTACTAGCAAAAACATGCCATGTCATGTTCCATTCAACGATATTACCCAACAAAAAACAATACCTAACAAGTTAGCAAAAGGGCATGAAATTCAAATTAAACAATGTCTCTCCATCAGCGCCTCCATATGTTGGACCTGCTTAGTTTGTCACTAAGAAAACGATTTTCTGTTTTCAGAGAACTGAAAATTAGAAAACTGTATAAAAACTATACTTGATTCAGTTTACTAAAATATGTTTTATAAAATCTCGGTTATAAAAATGTCTGTTCTAAAATAACTGTCTTTTATAATTAGTAGGAAAGAGGCCCCAAGTAATTTGCTAACAGTACCAAATGGACAAACCAAACAGCACACTTTTTCAATACCAGACAGGTTAAGGGTTTCTTAAAAATTGCTCTAACCCAATACCCAATCTAAAGTATAATCTAATTCCTGTGCTCAGCCTATCAACTACAAAAATCACTTGGCTGTGCTCTATGCAGAAAGAATTGTTGACATTAATGGAAAGATCGTATATAGCTATTTCTTTCTTATAGGGTGCATGCAGAGTTCTTTCCATATCGAACGATGATGTCAAGTTTTCAAATTTACTTTACCATTAGCCGCAGGCTGGAAAGGTGGGTGTAAAATACTCCCAAGGAACTGGTCACCAAGATGTTAGGGCATTGGCATCGGAAAATGTCAGTATTCATTCAAACCATCAAATATACACAGCCACTATTATGCATCTTTATGCTCATAGGAATGCAACAAGCATGATTACCTTGTGTGAAGAACAACTATTTCGCGACTTTGGCATCCAAAACATTTTCATTTCAGATGAACTAGTTTTTATTCATTTTACACTACTGATGTCCTTGCGCCAGCATGGAGCACGTCACAGCTTCCAATACACTATCAACACATACAAATCATGAAAAAGTAATGAAGAAAATAAGTCTAGCCCAACTTTCATGCTAAGTTTCTACATTGCCACATTCCAATGTATATCATCACTGCTATTCTGTAGTGGCCCCTGACCTAGTATACAAATAGAACTAGGTCAGCCTATTAGCTTGGAGGTTCTATAACATTACTGCTGTTGATTTTGCTGTCGCTGTTGTTGGAAACTGGGATGATTCTGTGAAGCATTCTGGATGGCCACCATACCAGGTTGTAGATTTGAGGCATTTTGCGCCATATTTCCGAAAGCACCTTGTGAACCATGTTGCTGCTGCTGCTGCTGCTGTAGAGGCATCATCGTGCTAGGATTAGCTGCTCCCATGTTAAACACTGAAACGAGAAGCCTAAACACAAATTAGCAAATAGGTATAATGTAAAATTGACTTGGAAAAATAGGTTGAGCAGATAGATGATACATTTCACAGACACACCCTCCCATTTCTCTTTACCAAGCAAGTATATGCAAAGACAACTTATAGTAAGCTAAAAGATATAAAGGATAATACTAGAAAGGATTTTCTTACTTTGATCACTCAAAATTTGGGAAGCATGACTCCGATTGCCAGAAGATAATCCAAACTGATAGCAATGAATTCAACATGAAAAAGAAAATCATAATGCTAATTGAGGTAAAAATATGTAATATAATGCCAAACTAAATTTATACAGAGAACATGGTATCGGTAAAAGAATTAATGAGATAGACATGCCAGTAACCCACATATAAACGTTACCTACGGGTAAAAAGTAATTATTCGTTTGTCACAAAAGAAGCTAACTGGAGTAATATTGCCAACAGACCAACATTATATGTAGGTAAGGTTGCAAATAGAAATTCCAATGTTATATCTGGTTATGAAAATTAATGTAGTGATTTTCTTCTCAAAATAGATAATTTTATTTGAAACAGAACATAGAATTGATTAGGCGTGTCTGCTTGGACTCTAACAAGGAAAAATAGCAAGATAATTATGCAATAACCAAGCAAATCTAGGTAAACTAACAAAAAAGACTTCCTTTTAAAATGATTTTCCTTATCCAAATCCACAGAAAACTGTTTGTGGCAGGAGTTTAATGGAGTTTCCTCAAACCTGGCAGGAGATCTAATTACATATTGCCAAGATTCTGAAAAACAAACTCATGTTGTAGGAGGGCCCAAGATATTGCTAATTGACTGGTAAATAATAATTATTCTTTTAATTATTTGGACCCAAGATAGGATTGAAAAAGTTCTTACTTGAACTTTTTTGTGCCTGACCTATAGAGATGCAAAGTCTCCATTGACACTTTCCATTTTTTTATTTTTTTTTTGGATTAACCCGGGGTGTCAGGGATGGCACGAACCCTTAGGGCCCCTCAACAACCCAACTAATCCCCGATGACCCGGAAGGGCGCCTCCCCACCCGGGCTGGGTAAGTCACTGCAGGAGCAATGGAGGCTAACCACAAAGAACTCCCAGTGGGACTCGAACCCTAGACCTTGGGCTTGCTAAGCTCCAAAGTTCAGCGAGTAAACCGCTGGGCCATATTCGAAGTGGATGACACTTCCCATTTTTCATAATGAAATACACGAATTCAATAGATGCTGCTTAATATAGGTTCAAGCAAGATTATTCCAACAATTGCAAATCACTTGTGGATTATTCCAGCAATTGCATGGTGGATTTGGTTGGAAGCATGGAACTTACACTAGGGTGTCCCTGATTGAAGACTGGGTGTAGTCATTAAAGGCACATATTGGCTTTAAAAAAAAAAGGCAAATTTCTAGACAAGAGTAATTAAAGACGCAGCTCGACCCCAAAAAGCTCCAAACTCTCCAAGGCTCTAAACTGAAGTGCCTAGGCAAGACCCATTGACATACATGTATAGAAGAAAGGATCAAGGGTGGTTTACGGCTCAACCCATGAAGTAATCATACTCAAATCATAGATGTATAGGATGTTTAGCTACCCAGACATACAGACAATTCTAATTCCATTCGGGACTTGCAAAGTAAATTACCACCATCTTGTTAGCTATTCCCCCTTAAAAGGGAGCTCTTGAGTTGAATCATAAAGACGTCCTCACTAATTAGGAGATGGCACCTTTCTACTGAGTTGGGTTGAGAGAGAGAGTTGTGAAGCAATTTGAAAGCTAACCTGCTGCATTCGTGGGAGAAGTGATTGTGATGGCATCGTTGCGGACATGTTTGGAATCTGACATTAATGAAAAAGATAGTAAATTTTTATGGTTACAAATTTTTCTCAGTAACAGAAGAATAAAAATAAGTAAAGATTTATTTATAAATAACAAATCAAGATTAGATTTGTCCACATGGTAACTGTTAGTTTCCAAGAAGTAAATTACTTCGGATGAAGATACAATTTTTCCAAAGTCAGCTGAATGGTAGGATGCCACAGATGTCCCCTCGAATTCCAAAAAGGATTAAACGAAAAGTGGATTTAACAAAAGAAAATTTAAGGAAATGAATAAAACAAACAAACGACAAGAAGCACAGAAACAAATCAGTATGAAGGTTAAGTACAAAAACTGGATATATAAAAAGTCAGTGTGAAAAATTGTAAAATATTCATTCAACCTTCAGTAGGAAGGCTGTATTTTACTCTGCATGTGCAATTGTGCATATCTGGACTCTTTTAAATGCACAAGACATACTTCACCAAAAAATTGTGAACACACTAGGCTGCTGATGAATACAAAGAATTATAATTCTCTTTATTTGTACACACAAAAAATAATAACAATAAATAAATACATTTCAATGAACAGAATGCAAGGTTATTTACTATCAAGTACTCGTAGCAGATTCCCAAGTGCTACTCTTTCTTCAATTTTGTAGCAGTGGAACAATTTTAGAGGTTTGCATGGATTAATTGAATAAAAGTTGGATTACGCCACAAATAACAGTTTAAATAGTTGCTTCCTCAAGCAATGCAACTAGAAACTACAAGAGGAAAGGTGAAATGAGAAAGAAAATGAAAACAGAAGTACAACCCAATTACAGCAATTAGCCATGTTTGTCCAATAAGTACTCAACATTTATACCTCATTCCAGTACCGACTACTCATATATTTATTACTCGTATAACTATAAATGACATATAAAAAACAATAAGACGCAATAATTTAAAATACAGAGAATAGGAAGAGCAAAATGGAAACATATCTCACAATTTGCGTATTTGGCGTAGACTGAGCAGCATTAAACAATGCACTATTGGCAGGGGAAGAAAATTGGTTTAAATGACGATTCAGCTGATTTCCTTGGCTGAGTTGGTTTTGACCAATGCTATGCTGAATGGGTCCAGATGTTAGCTGCCTACTTTGAAATTGCTGGGCCCCCATTGGCTGAGAAAATTGCATCTGATGCTGACCGTGTAACTGGTGAAACAGTGATATTTATTCAAGCAATTAATAGAGAATATTTGAAGAGTCAAGAGAGAGAAAGAATAATACTAATACATCCAGAAAGCAATCTGATAATAGCTTTCAATTGGATAAATATCATAATTATAGTAGGCATTATCGCACTTATTTTGCATTAATTTCCATATTATATACACAAATATAAGAAAATCCCCTTTTTCCACTGTTAAATGTTTTCTTGGTTAAAATTGCATGTTAATGCATGAAAATATACGAGTTTATTATCCATCACATTAAATTTTATTGCATAATTTATTTTGTAGGAATTTTAAAGCACCAATCGAAGTATTTAGAGCTTCGATCGATCAAATGTGTGTTAATATTGATCGTTGGAAAGAAAATACGCAAGAGAGCAAGTATCTACGAGTATCCATTGGTCAACATCAATCAAGGAGGATTCTAGAAGAGTTTTATAAAATAAAAATTCGTTTGGGATATTAAAGTGAAGAAATAAAACTTCCATATTCAATTTAGGAAAGAAGTTTGGAAGGAAAGTTTTGAAGCCGTCTCAGTAAATTAGCTATAACTATGCAAACTCAAGAAAGAAGACTTGAAACCCTGTCATATTTGTATTTCACAAGAATTTCATGAAGAGCATGTCTACTAGGTCAAAACTGGGCTGCAAGTCGACACAAATTTGGAAGCCAGATTTTGGCAGATTTTCTTTTCCGCACTTTCCTATTTCCTCTTTCTTGGAGGAAACTCTACATCATCTCTATATAAGAGAGGCCGTCCAACAAAGAATACACATCCGTATTATTACTATTTTCCAGTTTTGTTTTGTTATTATGAGTAGCTAAACCTTTTTGCTAAGGCTAGGAGTGAATCCTCAACATTGATATGGCGTTTGCTTAACCATTATCTATGGTTTTAATGTAAGTTATTTTGAATTGATTCTACTATTTTGAAAAAGCGTTTGTTTTGTATAATTCTTTGAGTTATCGTTGACTCCGGGCACAGTGAATGCTTAGGATTCCCTGTGAATCAAATTACTAGTTTTGTCACCTCATAAATCAATCAAATTTATGAATTCATCTTTTTAAAAATATTACTTTGGATATAATAACTTTCAATATCTTCTAATTGAGATCATTTTTTGTATGAGTCTTAATTAAGTTATAAAATAAATTTGTTAGCAAATACCATAGATTTGTTGTGTATGAATCTCTGAAACCTTAGTGTTTTTCGAAATATTATTCAAATCAATTCTCTGTGATTCAATCACCAAACTTTCCAAATCTTTTAAATATTTTTGCTTTTGCTTTCACCATTAATTATTGTTTCCCCTTTCCCTATGGTTCGACCTTGGACTCACTGAGTATATATTACTTCATGACATTGTGCACTTGGAGCATTATAAAAGTCGTAGCAGTATCCTAGTGAATCAAATTCTAGAAGTGTATATATGGATGTAATAATGAAATTCTATCCTCCACACACACACACAGACCTTATTTGGTGTGGTACCTGTGGTTGAAAGAGAATGAAAATTTATGGTTAAGGAATATAAAACAACCAAAAAGAAGATGAGAGAACTTTTAACAGAAAATAACATTGTTTTGCAAGTTGGGACTTAAGAGACATAGGCTATTGCTGCCACTGTCACTGTCACCACTACCATAATCTTAACAATCAACGCATCCAAGTGCAGCCGCCAGTTCAAAAATGCTCACACATTTCACATCAGCATCCATGATAGAAATGTATATAAGAAAAACAATGGACTGCTCTAAGTAAGTGGCTAGATAGATTATCTAGTCAGCATGAAGAAAATAAAATACGAAATTATATAAGGCACCAAGAGAGAGGGGCACAATGACATGCTTTGTGGCATATATCCGTAAGTACAAACACACATGCAGTGCCATGCATATATGCACAGTGCTTGTGTGAATTGTTTGCATATCTTTGTAAAACATACACGGGAAAAGCATCCGGATGGAGATACAGGACGATAAATAAAAGACTAGTGCAAATTTACCGATTGAAACTTCTGCTGAGCTTGGCCCTGCAAATCATGCAGCTGTGGCAGCTGGTTCTGCCAAAAAAAAAAAAAGAAAAAAAAAAAAGTAAGTACTACAATAGTTGTACTTTTGTAGTTCTTCTTAATAAAATCACCCTGTTCACGGAACAAAAAAGTTTGGCCTGCAAGATATTTAGCACTCGGGTGTCACGAAAAATAGATCTACTTGTTAGTTGTTACACAGGCATTTACAAAAAATAAAGGAATGCTACATAAAACTTACTGACGATTGACAAGTAACTCACACACACTTTGCCCCTATGGGGACTAGAACCCTAAACTTTCCACTTTGGGATGTGAGGAGATACCACTAGGCTACAGCCCTTCGTTGAAAATTTTCTAAATTTAAAATCCTCAGCAACTTTTCCGAACTCGTATGTTTTTGACCGGAACTAAATTGATGTCAAGTTGAGGGCAAAAACCTTCAGTATCGCCCATTAAAGAACACCATAGTCAACCAATTGGATTAGCGTGTGAAGCATGTGTCTCTCTGAGTTTGGGCGTATATACACACACCACACCCTCACACTGGCATACATATATAATGATGTAACGAAATGTCTGCTTTCAAAACAGGCCAAATATTTCATCTAATCTACTTCATCATTTCAGGGAAAGAACAACAATATAAAGATAGATTCTAATCATATGCTACTTCCTCCTGTCACTAAAAATATGGCCACTTCAATAAAAAAAAATATATTAAATAAAACTGTACCTGCCCCAGTCCAGGCATCGAAGATTGCCTGAATTGCTGATGAGCAAGGAGTTGCTGCTGATGTCGGGGTAATTGCATCATTTTTTGCCTTTGTTGTTGTTGTTGTTGTTGTTGTTGCTGCTGCTGCTGCTGCTGCTGTTGGTGCTGCTGCTGTTGTGATTGTTGCTGAGGAGATGGTGTATTCATCAAAGTCGTGCCAGACCTAGGCGAGTTTGCATATGGCAGTGGAGACGTCGTTGTATTATCAAAGGAAGTGGCCGCAGTAGCACCGGAAGGGGAAGCTGCTGATCTTCCAATAAGTTGTGTTCCAGAAGCCTACTTAGAAATTGTTGGGTAAGAGTGCTAAAAAACAGCCACACTTGCAGAGAATCATGCAGTTTGCATCTTACAAGAAAAAAGATGTGAACTGGAAATTTCTCATCATAAGCCCCATAAAGAAGTACACGGATATTAAATCAATAAATTGGCAAAAAAGGTAATATTTGGTGGAGATGTCCTGTTAGATTTTGATGGGTAGCTGCAAAACCTAAAGCCAAAAACAACCTGATCTCGGGCTGAGTTTATAGTGTAAAATATCGGGCAGACATGTGCTTTAAGCACATTATAATACATTAATACTACTCAGTAACTATATGTACCCACATTCCACTACACAAGCTGAATGCAGCTACTAGCAAACAGAACAATGTCCATATAAAGAACACTTCAAAAAGCATGCAAGCATCCTGCAATTTTAAGTTTAAAATTGTAAATTCTTCTCATTAACGAGATGGATGATGAAAAAGAAAACATACCAACAAGTTGAGAAAAAATGGAAAAGAAAAGAGGAATGAGGAAACAGAATGGATGAACCTGCCTTGGAATGACAAGGACGAAAATATATTTTATTTATTTGAGCAATCTGGGCTAGCTTCATTATATCAAAGATCCCTATAAATGATTTCATGTTAATTTCAGAAAAGCCCAAAAGACAATGATCTAACCTGTAACAACGTTCCCTGGCTGTTAATGTTGTTCGATGACAGGGGAGTATTAGTTTTCATGTACATGCCTGAAACACAAGGTTTTAAATGCCACTTTATTGACACCAAAACACACAAGGTTTTCAAAAAATTTAAGGAAATAATCATGCATCAATGACATGCTAAACCATACCAGATGCATCAACAAAAGTCTGCGTGGTATCACTCACGGCGAGAACATCCACCAGATGCATGGGAAGAGCAGACGTAATCTGCTTTTGATCCCCAGGTATTCTTAATCCTTAATACAAAAACCAGTCAATAAAATCAATAATATAATAAGCATACACTCACACTAACTGATGTCCTTGCAGTAAAATATAATAGGCTGAGGGTCAAGAAAGATCTGTTGGGGACACAAATTAAAAACCTTTTGGTGGCTTGAAACATCTCTGGTAGTTGTTTCCTCCAGTTGCAAAGCTCTAAATCATATTATATTATATTTAATCATATAAAGCAGAAAATTTTCGCAGTTCTATTCAGGATACTCTATAGCAAGTTGATATTCATGTCACTGTAGTACAGAGTTGTTCATGTTGCTGTAGTAATGAACTCATACAGATTTGTGTTTCCTTTATTTATTAGATTGATTCAGAGGCAAGAATTCATGTTGTCCAAAGAAGAAGAAGACAAAGCAAAAAAAAAAAACAACGAAGAAGAGGATCCTTTCCTATCTAGGGTTACTTATAATTCTAATAATAAGGTTGTGTCATACTACAGCAAAAACCAAGCCTAGTTCCCAACCACTTGAAGTCGGCTAAATCAATCATATGTTTTCATTCTGCTCTATTTAAGGCCATATCCTCAGTCAATCCACATGTTATCATATCCTTCCTTGCTAAATTTACTCACATTAACTTTAGTATTCCTCTTCCCCTAGTATTACCATCAATGTAGACTATGTCACTTTTCCTAGCTAGGGCACTTAAAATGTCTTGTTTGCACATGTCCAAACTATCTTAATCGATTTTCTCTGATTTTTTCTCTAATTTGTGCTACTCCCACCACACATCCATCTCAACATTCGCATTTCCGCTAGTGCTATTAAAGGCTCAAGGCGCTAGAGGTCCTTTGGAGCCTAGGCGAGAGGCGCACGGCAAGGTACGCGCCTGAGTGAAGTGAGGCGCACAATTGAAATTTTAAACTACCATAATAGCATTCATATCTCACAAGTCATATCAATATTCTAAAAATTAATATCTAATATAAAAAAGTAAATCCATCAACTATATTTTTGTTTATTATTAGGAATTTTAGGTTTTTACTGGATAACAGGTAGTTTTGAATTTCGGGATTTATCCAAAATAGTCAATAACTTGATTTTTAAAAATGAGGTCAATTTATCATTTATTATTGTGTGCCGTTCTAGTATTTGCCGGTGCAGTTGCTAAATCTGCACAATTCCCCCTTCATGTATGGTTACATGATGCCATGGAAGGGCATTCAAGAACCATAAAATATAGCACAAATTTGTTTTCTTGAAAGGCAAAACATAGTACAAAAAAAAATAAATCTATTAAAAAAAACTGTTAACAAGAAAAGAAAAAGAAAAAAAAGAGATAGAACAATCTATATCAGATCCTTCTCTGCTATGCTTAAGCTTTCTTATTTGTTTATTAAGTTGCCAAAAGTACCCTTTTTGGCTTAAGAGATAGAACAATCATTTAAAAAAAAACAAATAACAACCAAGCGCGCCTAGGCGCACCTAGACAAATAGGATGAGGCACAACCGAGGCGCACGCCTAGTAAACACTAGTGAGCCTGGGATGACAACAGGCACTAGACCTGCGCCTCGAGCCTAGGCGCATGCCTAGGCGCGCCTTTAACAACACTGATTTCCGCCACACTCACTTTTTATGTATGTTGTTTCCTAACTGCCCAACATTCCATGCTATAGAGTATGGCTGGTCTAATAGTTGTTCCATAAAACTTCCCGTTCAATCATAAGGGGATACACCTATCAAACAATATACTAGCTGCAATAATAAGGTTGCGTCATCTCTTCTAAAATTTATAAAGTGTGCTTTCAGTTACAAAGCGAATCGAAACAATGGTCAAGATCAAGAAGGCATGACTCACTGATTCTTCTTTTTCTTGATCACTTCCTCTTATATTATTGGCAACAAATATTTATTTTCTATTTTTGGGTAAAATCACTCTTCAAACTATTAAAACGGTGCCTATAATCCCTAATTCAACTTCAAAAAACTATTAGCCAATTTCTACTCATTTCTATAAAAATTTAAAGCCAAACCCAGCCCTGAACTCTATATATGGCTGCAGGCCCTTTGAATATTTTACACAGCGAGATACAGTCGATAAAATATATGACATCATTCTATCAGAAAGTGCATTACTTTGACAGGGATTTACTTACACAACATAGTTACTCCATCAAAAACCTGAGAAATATGTTACATAATATTAGACATGGAAGTCAATGATTCCACAGGAGTATCCCTATAATTTAACACACATTGAATGTTGGACCTCACAAGTCTCATGCAGAGTACTCATTCTGCAGCAAACAATTAGTACTTGATCTCAGTCTCATATTCAGTAGCTTAAACATTAAACTTAAGAAGAATGCTGCTTATATGTGTAACCCAAACTTCATTAGAAAAAGAGTAATAAATCCCACTATATTGGAGGAAAGACGGGGAAACACACACACACACACAGATAATCCAAGTCAACCAGCCAAAGTGAAGAGATGATACGCCCATAATAAAAAGCAACACGAGAAGATCATTCACCAGCTATGGTACCAATGAGAAAGCAGGAGACAAATTACAGTTCTGTGACAGGTTACAGGAATTTCCATCAACCAAACTGTGGATCCAGTGCCCAAGAAATCTAAAAATTTATTTTGAAGCTCAGTCAATCTTTAGACAAAATAAGATAGTGAAGCAAGAAAAGCATAAGAAAAGCGTGGATAAAATATTCATGCAACTAAAGATGCTTGCAATAACATTTCCTTAATAAAGTTATTCTCTTATTTCTCCATATATTATTATATCTCAAGCAGATAACCTACGGAATTTCTTACAAGTTTTAAGGTGTTACTAATTTTATTAGACACCAGCTGTCAGGTATAAAGTCTGTTAGAAATGTTACATACGTACTCCGTAACATACCCATGCTATGTAGTGTCCAACGAGAATACTTCGAATATTTTAAAGTACTCGTACAACAAATCATTTAACCACATAAGTCTCCAGATAAAGAAAGTTAAGGACCATTGTCCATCAAAGAGGATGTCATTATAATATAGCTTCATTCGCAGAAAATGTGCCTTCAAGAATGAGGTATGATTACAACTAGGTTAAACTGAAGACTCATAAACTTGGAGTCACAGTATATATGAAACACGAGAAGCAGGCCTGAATATTAAAAGGAATTCCTTCTGTTAAAAAGCAAATTATGAGAAGTATCAGTTGAGAACAACACCTTCGCCATGATTTACAGCACTTCGCAGTAAATTCTCTTGTTCTTGAATTTTTGCAGCTTGGACCTTGTCTAATGTTGGAACAATCGTTGGCCCTTGTCGTGTACCAAAATAGGCTTTACGGGTATCAGCTATGACCTTTTCAGCACTTTCACAGGCTGCTCCAATCATATCTATTCTAGTCTATAATAATTTTTTCAAAAATAGAAAAAAATAATGCCCATGTTTGAGTGGAAAGAAAAAATTACATTGATATGGAACAATCTTAATTATATTTAGATCACCTTTAGCTTTTCAATTTGTGCGGATACTGGCAGGTTTTCCATCCCATGTAATACCTGCTCTCTCTTGGAACTGTCTTCCATTTCCATCTCAGGCAATAGCTTTGATGACAACATAACTGGCAGAACTGTATCCACAAGAATCCATTAGTTTATTATAGAAACCATTTGCTACTTTATAAATATGTAATTTACTGTTTAGGAAATTGTCTACAATACGACAACTTATAGATAAACAGATAGATAGATAGATGGATATATAAATAGGTCTTATGATATGAAGAGCAGTGTTCCACCAGAGATAGATAGATACATTCCTAAATACATAATACATATATATATATATATACATACAGAAAGAGAAAGAGGGAGAGAAAAAGGGGGGGGGAGAAAAAAGGGGGGGGTGGTGGTGGTGAAAAGGGAGAGGTCTTATGATACTATCTGGCTATCTGCGGTGTTCCACCAGCAAATCCTAAGAATTGATGTAGACGAATAGATGATGACAGGTATAATATATATATATATTGATAAGTATGGCAGATATTAAATAAAAAATACATTATCAATTAAAAATGCTGAAATTTCTTGAAAATAAGGCTTCTGTTAATACTGCATTATCAATTAAAAATCAATTGTGGTAAAGCACTTCACCTTCACCTTCACCTTAACCAGGTGATGTGGGATTGTGCGGTAAGGTGAAGGTGAAGTGCTTATATGTGCAGGTGGTATCTCCAAATGGTATAAGGCTTTTTGCGGTAAAACCCAAGAAAAAAATTGTGTGGGTTCAGGCCAAAAGCGGACAATATTATACCATGTGGTGAAGTGGGCTGTTACAAATGGTATCAGAGCTGGAGCCCTGGCGAAAGTGTGGCCAACGGGATGTTGGGCCCTTAGGGAGGTGATTGTGGCGACCTATGTGGGCGGGTGTGATGTAGGCTGGCACGAGACACCAGGCAAGCTACCACACTAGGTTGTTACAGGCAAAAAAAAAAAAAAAAAATTGGGAGGTTAAGAGAGGGCATAATGGTCTTTTCAATTGTTTGCGCATTTTTGTTAATTTTTTTTATTTTAAAACTATTAACATATTTAGGGTAAAAATGTCAATCAAATTAATAATTTAATACCATTTCTCCGACAAACTTTGACAGGGGGTATCATAGTTATTTTTGCAAAGGTTTCATTTATGGGTTATTTATTAAAACCTCAGGGGGGGTCTAGGTAATTTACCCAAAAATAAAAATTGTGAGATCAAGATTCAAGAGAAACAGTTGTACTTGCCAAGAGATGTCACTCACTATTCCCCTGCCATTACCATAAAGCAACAAACCAAAAAATAAATAAAAAGGCCAGGGAAACATAAATAAGAAGAAAATGATAGTTCTTTTCAGATACATATAAATGCATGCAAATAGTGTGTCAAGTTTTCCTAAGAACCCCTAAAAACTATCTTGAAAGGTTTGAATAAAGGATCATATCATGAATAAAAGTTGTTCTTTGCATTACCTAGGCACTGATTCCACTCAATATCATTGACAGATGATTTTTATTAGAACCATTCAGTTGGATCCATCAGTCTAGGAACTCCATATGTGTATTTATATATGCCTTACTAATGTGAGAGAAATTATTCATACTTGTGGCGTTCTCTGCATTGACGTTCTTTGGATGTACAACAAAAGCCTTGGAAACCTTCTTGATGTCTTCCACTATGTTAAAAAGCTCAAGATTCACCATAGAAAATTGCCCCAATACATCTTGCCTGGTGGACAGAAACAAGCATGTCAAAAAGAATCAGCAGCAATTGCCAATTAAGCTTAACATTTATTACATGCATGCCCATAAGATCACTTGACTCACTTAAAAATTTTCGTCATCAAAATCATAAAAATCAGTTACTTCAAGACATGATTTTTGAAACACTCCTATTATTTCTCTAATTCCTCAGATTGAGTGATGGATCTCAGATGACAGTTTCACAAATCATATCCCCAGGACAGTGAATAGGTATAATAATATGAGTAACAGAAATGAAAAGCCAACATTTGAACTCAAAGGAAATCAGGATAACAGTCCTTTCCCAAAATACATTGGATAACTGTAATTGCAAAAAGTATTCCTATCCAGGTGATATATGATTGACCATTCATAGGAGAATAGTACCTAATACACGAAGCATTGGATTAAAAAAACAATTTTCTGCAATGCAGAACAGTGTAAAAAATGCATATGCTGTAAGAGTCCACACTGTGTTGGAGTGTGTGGCACTACACAGAGGTTCAAAGCTTTCTATCCTAAATCTCAATATAAGCACACATCGGAGTGGGATACTGAAATTAACTGATTTGCAGTTTCTTGTCGTCTGTCTGTGTCTGCGTCTGTCTGTGTGTGCCTGAGTAACATTCGCCTTCATACACGATGTTATGAACATTTACTTATTACATGTCTTCGTGCATTGCATGGGTGAAAGGTAGGTCTGTGAATCTTAGGCAAAATTAGTAGTTAAAATTCATAATTTCGAAATTCTTCTAATTTCAAACAAATTTAGAGTGAAAAAGTGAGAGGGCTAACCATTTAGGGACAGAATTGGTGCGAGCGATGGCATCTAGGTCTTCGAGGATGCGAGAGATGGCTTTGAAGAGGCTGATCGCTCGCGTCTTGACAGACTCGAGATTGAGTTGCTGTTGAACCGCAGGGTTCAGCCTCTCCACAACCTTGGGCGGTTGTTGTTGTTGAGCCTGGGCTTGGTCCTGAGCTCCAACAATGCCTTCCATGGCGGCCATGACCGCAGAGAGAGAAAGAGAGACTGTTAGAGAGCGGTGGCGATTTAACCTTTTTAACAATTGTTGTAGTAACTCGTTCGTATGATTCGTTGGACGACGAGTCTTTTCATGCTCCTCTGTGTCGTCCGTTCTAATTTCTTTTTATGGGATATGTAATTAATTAATGTCTTCTTTTAAATTTACTAAATTATCATATTCAAGTTGTAAGTTTTTAAAAACTTGGGGGGCAACAATGGAAAGACGGCATTAATTTTTGCTTTCACTTTACTAATTTGGGATATCTTAAAAAGAAAAATTGGACAAGAGAGGTTGTACAAATTGGAAAATCTGTAATTTTTTTTTTCTCCATAAATACAAATAAAAAAATTAAATATATGAAAGAATAATGACACCATGATAACATCATGAAGCATCCTATGCCTCCTATTTCAACTGCTTAAAAAAAAAAATTCAAATTCTTTATGAAAAGTTACATATAAATTGATTTAAGGATCTAAATTTACACACGCACAACAAAAAAAGAAAAGAAAAAACCCCTACTTACTTTCCATTCAACTTGTATTTTTTTTTAATAATTCATTAATTTGTATGTGTCAGCATTTAAATTAGACATTTGATTCACTTAGACATGAGAAATGGGTCAAGTAAAAAAAAAAAAGGTGAAATATGTAAAACCGGGTCTCATTCTAAACTACATCAACAAACTTGATCATGTTTAGAATTTACGGCCGCAATAATTAAATTATCTCAATAAGAAGCTGCGGCTCTAACTCCTTTGGTCAGGCGTAGCATATACCAAAAGTTAGGGTCCAACGTAACATATGCTAAGCAATGGGCAAAATTAATTATTTTTTGTTCAAAGTATATGAGTGATGTGACTAAAACAAGACGAAACTCCAAGTATGTCACGTGAAACATGAGTGAACTTAAAAGGGTCCCAAGTATCACGTATGATTTTAGTCTCTACAAAACATCTTTATTGAGATTGTCCATGTGACACTCATTCAACTGCAAACGTAGTTTCTCAAAAAATATAAATAGAACTCAAGTGTATGCTAAGCAACAAGCAAAACCAGGTACCTTTTATCCCATCAACAGAGAAGGGTCTAAGCAATGTAACTAAAACAAAACGACACTTGAGTGCCTAGCCAAATAAGTGTCCCAAGTATGTCACCTTAATGTCACGGGTTTAGAGTTTCAGCACCACTCTAGCTGCTCCCGTGCAGCACCAAGACGTTGCTTCCACTCTCGCAAGTACTTGGTCAGCCTAATTCCCGTACACACCTTAGCCAACACACTCCCCTCATGCGCTTACTAGTGTTGTAGTTGCACTCGCCCTCTCCTCACTTGGCTTACACACTCACACACACTAAGACACTTACGTTGGCAAGAAAAGAATACTTCTATTACTTCAAAGAATGCTTCGTACATGGGGCGTGACATTCTCCCCCACCCATTTCCGTGACGCCCTCGTCACGGTTTCTTCAGCTGACCCAGCCTCTCGCAGGTCATCAGCACTTGCGCATATGTCCTTGGCCCAAATGTACGAGCGCCCTTTGGGAGATGTGAGGTCCTCACGAGCTCCATCGTGTTGACTGCCACCTCTGGACTCTCCTTCCTGCCCACGAGCGGCACCATGCATGCGGCCTTGCCTTCTTCACCTCCAAGTATCATTAACGCACCAAGGCATGGTAGTGGCGCGACGTTGTTCCTGTCCATGAACTCCAGCCCCAGCACCATGTCATGGTCGTCCATCTCCGCAACCTGGAAGTCGGCATTGCCCTTCCATCCTTGCATGCATAGCTCCACCTCCTTGCACACTCTACTCACGCGTGCCTCCGTGGAGTTGACGGCCTTGATCCATCCCTCTGTCTTGCGCATCTCCAAGCCAAGTCGTTGCGCCTCCTCCGGGGTAATGAAGTTGTGTGTAGCACCCGTGTCTACCAACGCTTGCACGGCTTTGCCACCAACCTGCGCATCCACATAGCGCACCCCAGCTACCTTCTTTGCCTTGCCCTTCTTCTTGGTGTCATGCGCTATGCTACTCAGCATCTGCATAGCCCCCATACACTTATCTTCATCGCTGCCCGCATCGTCCACCCTGCCCTTGCCCTTATCCTTCACAAGGGCGCTCATGGTCTTCTTGTTGGGGCAGTGTCGCAATATGTGCGGCCCTTCGCACAAGTAACACTTCGGCTCCCACTTGCCACTAGCCTTAGACCTCTCTCCATGGTCCTTACCCTTATCATGGCGTGGGCGTCTCTCCTCATCGCTGTGTTCATCATCACTTGACTTGGGCGAGCCCCTTTTCTTGAAGCGACAGTCTCCCCCACCTTTGCCGTGGTCCCTTCTGGGAGACGTGGCCCTCTTGTCATCGCGCCTAAAGTCTTCAAGGCGCTCCGCTATAGCCATTGCGGATGCCAAATCTCTAGGCTCCCTCCTTCTCAGCTCTGTGGCTACCCAAGACTGCAACCCATCAATGAACAAACACACACGTTGCCGCTCTGGCATCTCTGGGATCTCCAGCATCAAGTTGGAGTACTCCTTCACATACTCCCTTATGCTGCCCTTCTGCTTCAGGCGCCTTAGGTTGATCATGGCGAGGTCCTCAACGCACTCAGGGTAGAACTGCCTCTTGAACTCTTCCCATGTGTCAACTGCTCTTGCGCCTCTACCAGTGAAGCGCTGCCTCCACCATAGAGCGGCAGTGTCCGTGAGGTACATAGTGCCTGTCTGCACCTTTTCCTCATCATCCTCGATCTCCATGCACTCGAAGTACCGCTCCATGTGCCAGAAGAAGTTGTCAATCTGGCGCGCATTCCTTGCCCCATCATACTCCTTGGGCTCTGGCCCTTTCTTCTTCCTTGGCTTCACCACGACCTCGCGCGCCTGGGAAAACTCCTTTTTGCACTCGGCAATCTCCACGCGCAAGTCGTCTACTTGATCGTACAAGTCCCTTTCCTTCTCTCGCGCCTTGTTGGCAATGCCGTCAATCAGCTCGTAGAGTTCCGCCATCTTTCTCTCGAGCCTGTTAAACTTGGTCTCCGTGTAGACCAAGTGTGTAGCAAGCTTCTCCTCCAAGCTCTGCTCCAAGACGTGGACTTGGTGGTCTCCTCCGCTAGCCATGTCTACTCCAACAAAGTTCCCTTGACGAACCTGCTCTGATACCAACTGTCACGGGCTTAGAGTTTCAGCACCACTCTAGCTGCTCCCGTGCGGTACCAAGACGTTGCTTCCACTCTCGCAAGTACTTGGTCAGCCTAATTCCCGTGCACACCTTAGCCAACACACTCCCCTCGTGCGCTTACTAGTGTTGTAGTTGCACTCGCCCTCACCTCACTTGGCTTGCACACTCACACACACTAAGACACTTACGTTGGCAAGGAAAGAACACTTCTATTACTTCAAAGAATGCTTTGTACAAGACTAGCACTCAAGCTCTCTACAAGGCTCTCAAGACTCACTCTAGGACTTGTTGCCTACAAAATGAAGTCCTACCTCTATTTATAGGCATCTCCATCCCCAATGGACGGCTAGGATGCATTTTAACCGATGGTGGAGATCGATTCTCTAGAATCTTCTCCCACCTTCTTCACACTTCCATACTTATCCATAAATATCTACAACATTCTAGAATTCTCCATACTACTCCACACAACTCTAGAGAACTCTAGAACCTTCCACACACTTCTACATATTTCTACACATATCTAGAATCTTTCACACAACTTTAGACTACTCCGGAAGACTCTAGAAACTCCACTTGCCATGTAATGTCCTCCTCAGCATCTGCGTGTCGCCTGCGTGGCACAACCTCCATAGGCGGGGCGTGACATTAAGCATAAGTTAACCTATAAAGTCACATCTATGTCAATCAAAAGATGGCTCGTCACGTGCAACAATAGCTTTTGTAAAGCAACTTTATCGCAATCGTCCACATAGTGCTTATCCAACTGCGAACTTAGTTTCCAAACAACGGGTGAAACCAATTACTTCTGCCCTGTCAACAAATAGGGGTTTGATCTATGTGATTAAGGCATTACAACATTTAAGTGTCCACGAAATGCGCATCACAGGCATGTCAAGTCAAATATGTGAACCTATAAAGTCACATCACATCCATGTCAATTAAAGGATGATGCATCACGTGTGACAATAGTTTTTGCACAACTTCATCGCGATCATTCGCGTGGTGGTCAACCTTGGACCTAGCTTCTAAGAACTCATCTATGATGAGATTGGGTCCTAGACTAACACACCTACTTTCCATGTGTCTATCGAATCCTATGCCATCTATACTTGGTCTACATTCCAGTGTAATAGGCTTGCACTTCAACCCACATTTTTTCCATAACATAACTTGGAATTCTAAGTTTACATTAGTTGTTCTTTAATTGCTTTCATAACGTAGCTTACAGTTCTTTAATTGCCTTGATTCTCTCATTACCCCCAAACATTCATGGCTTAATTTTAATCGGTTATTCTGAATTGTTAACGTGGTTCAATAATGCTAATGGAACGAACAACTAGAGATTCATCTAGCGATCACCAGAAACGAATTGTGTGAGCTATAGAATCCCAAATAGAGATTCGGCTCCAAACAGCTACTATGCTAGAAGCATATATTTAGTTGCAATGTAGTTGAATGTTAACAGAAAAAGAAGATATAAACCAACTAATATACAGATTATTGGGACAAGAATGTTGCAAGCTTGCAATGAAGATCCCCATTACAGTAACATTTGAGCAACTCTTACTGGATATAAATGACATAGTCGTGTCGATAACAATTGCAGATGTTAGACACGAAAGAGATATATATATATATATATATATATATATATATATATATATATATATGATTGTGTTGAGCAAAATTTATTTGTAGCATAATTCGAGGCTCACAGGAGCACTTCAAACAAGATACGTAAAGCAATGAAATTTGTGCAGCTGGGGCTAATTCTGAAGTGTTCTATCTGGCTTTGGCCATGAACTCAGATACTTAAAAATACTATTTGATCATAAACGAGTTCATTTGTATGGAATTGGAGCTTTAGAATTAGAATTTGTGGAATTGGAAAAGAGTAACTAACAAAATTAAATCAAAATTTT